AAAAACTGCACTCCACAACTATTTGAATGTTACTTGTGCAAATATGACACCATAAATAAATCGAATTTAGTCAAGCATATGCGCATTCATTCCGTATCATTCCGATGCTCTCATTGTTCGAAATTATTCACCACAAAATCTACTTTAAAATCGCACCTAAGACGACTTAATAACGAAATGAAGTTACAGAATAAGAAGCTTTTCACTGTCGAAGAATGTCTAGAGGTACTTTAATTATAAATCTTGTATTTATTTGAATTTAAAAGACATCATTAGTTCAAAGCACTAGAAAAATGATCGAAAAAATGTCACCACTGAACGGATTCCAATTATGACGAAATGTATTTTGCTAATATATCGAATATAGAAGTATTTTCTTTCAAAGAGAATCATTGTAAAAAATGACGGGTTCTTTCAAAGAATAAAACGAAGCTACAAAATAAACTTATTTGTCTTTCTCATTTTATTATCAATTGGAAACTAGTTCAAGGAAATAATATGATCTAGCGATTTTGTGTTTTAGGCGGAATATTTTATGTAAGTATTGGGCCAAAGTGACAAATACAAGCGAAGAGTAACAAATCACGGGCCAATGAACTGAATGATAGATGGCTTGAAGGTAATTTTATGAATCCATGTTACATTTTCAAGAAATCAAAATCAAATCGAATTAGAATGGAAACATTGTATTAACAACTGTCATTGTCACCAAAGCCAAATTCGTGCGATTTGTATGTTAAACACAATGTACATTGGACAATTTGATCACTTGAAAGAGTGTTGGAAATAATCAACATATCTTTTACTTTTCCGCACACCTAGTGTAGGGAAGGTATTGTATTAGGCCAAAAAATTAAAGTCATCCCAGAACATGTTTTCTATGCATATTTAATGTAGAAAACACGATTGGAGATGATTTTGGGGCATATTAATGTGCGTCGCTGTGTGTGATGTGTCCTGTGTCCTGTGGCGTGTTGCCAAAATTTGTTAACTCGATAAATCTTCTTCCAAAAACTCAATTCAAATTCTGACTTTGCAGGATGATTTGGGACTACTACGAGACGTGCTGATTAGTTTTTGAGCAATATCTGTTGACCGGTGTAATTTTTTTTGGTCCGAATGGAGTACCCACATACATACATTTTTTGATCATTTTTCAACCATTTTGGTGACACGATGGTTTCGTGCTCAGACATGAAATTCAAAATCGTGCTCAGACATGATGATTGGGCACTACGAGGAATAGATCTGGTCAAATTTTCAACGACATTGATTGATCGGTGTAAAACTTGGATACTCTCAAGAGGCACTTATGAGAAAAATGCCTTAAAATGATATTCTTTCAATTTGAGCGCTGAAAGAATGTGAAGTGGGGGGTTTTTTGGCACGAGAAACCCGAATCTTATGTTAGTTTTAAGATGCAATCAATTTTTCACAGACTTTTTATACAAAAATCCACAAAAAATATCAATTTTGTTTACCGTAATGATGTGAAACTTTGAACAGGCTATTTTTTTTTGATTGAAATTTCTTTAAACTTGCTGTGATTATTTATTTTGATAAGAAAATAATATTCCCAAAATTTCGGTTCCATGCGGAAAAGTCAGCTTGCGTACGTAAGCCTCTTTATTTCAATAAATTTAAATTCGTCGGCTGTGAATGTTCTCTTTTAGGAACCAATTATTCGTCTGAAAGAAGAGACATATTTCAAAGGTAAAGTCTTCGTTTTATCGGCCTAAAGAAATAATAAAATTGTTTGAAGAAAATACTCTTTTCATGAATAGATGGAGAGCAAAGATGACCATAGTTTGATTTTTCTTCATCATCATTCAATTAAAGTATCTTAGTGAACAACAGAACGACAAAAAGTGTATTTTAAAAAAAATTAATTTCAAAATACCTAAACGTTTCAATAAGTTGTTGAGTCCAAGAGAGAGAGAGAGATAGAGAGAGAAAAAGAAAGAAAGAAAGAAAGAGAGAATTATGCAGAATTAGTTTCAGATATGTAAATGACCTCAATACATGCCTAACATTGCATCTCATCGAATATCACTCATTGTTTTCATATACATTTCCACTTACTGTTGCATATTAATCGGAACAGTTTTACACACAATAAAGCAATAATTATTCATCGAAATGTGATTTTCTGTAGAAAAAAATTGACTTTATTTTTATGGCACAAACATACAAAAAAACGTTCGGCACATAATCCGCAGAAATATACAAAAAATTGAATGCACCGAGTTTAGTGAATATATATCTAGAAATTCATCATTCATCCTTATTAATCCGTTTTTTGTTTCTCCATATTATCTTCAAGAGGTGGTTGTCACTACGACAATTTATTCTCCCGACTTACAGTGTTCTCCATGTTTTTGTGTCCATGGATCGTTGAGCATCAGTGTGGGAAATTCGCTTTTTAATTCTTTCAAAAATGTTTCTAAAAATTCGCATGAAAACAAATTATAAGAAATGTCTAAAAATTTAAGCTTTGGAAACCGAGTTCGTGTGATATGGTCCAATGTCGTCAAATTGTTTCCTTTCAAGTTTAGTGACCAAATCTGTTCACCGGGCATTAAAGTCAGATCTAAAGACGGTATATTATTATAACCGACGTCAATTGCTTCGAGTTTCCTCAGCATTTTAAAGGGGCCTGTCGTGGCGAGTAAAAGATTTGTGTTGTCCAAATATAAATTTTGTAAATTAGTAAGCATTTCGAATGTCGTGTCGTTCACTTCTCCAATGTAATTCCCCGACAAATGCAAATAATGAACCGATGGCGTCAAGTGTTCAATCAACTCCAGTGTATTTTCCAATTGGTTTCCTTCGATGTGCAAACTGAATAACTCCCCAAAAGACGATAAAACTGCAGCGTTCCTTATGATTTTCAGATTATTTTCAGCAATATTTATCCATCGGATGTGTTTACAATTTTTGATCCAACTGAAATCAAATTCGGGTGACAATTTCGCATTATTTAACTTCAATTCTTCCAAATTGTAAAAACGGTGAAGCACATTCGAATTGAGTGTCCCCGAATTGGTTTCGGCCAAATCCAATTTGACAAGCGATGACGTTAGACAATGTAACACCCCGGCTGCATTTTTTATGTGGTTTCCGTTCATTTCAAAGGTGTGAATATTTTCCAAACTTGATTCCCCGCATTGCAGTTCGATGTTACCATTTGATGAGCGGAAAGTTCCTTCATTTTTACCGTCGATAGTAATTGTCATCGGCTCTTCCATACATTCGAATGTAAAATACTTAACATTCTTCCATGAAACATACACAGACCCACCTTGTTCGACCAAAAATAGAATCGCACATTGAATGTATTCAAGAGGATTTTCCTCTAATCGCAGCGTTTTCAATGACATCGACGTAATTGAATTGGTGCGTAGATATTTAATCGAATTCGCACTCAAGTCCAAGTACTCCAATTCTTCTAAATATTCGCAGAATTCCGTGCGTGATATGTTGTTGTTGGCAAGATGTACCGACAATACACCATACGGTAGTTCGATGTGACCTTCGAGATCATTGTGGGAAAAGTCAACCTCAACAACGTTTGGTAAGTCGGCGAAGAATTTCCTCGGAATTTGCGTCAATTGATTGTGTGATGCATTGACTTTGACTAAATTGTCATGCTTTAACCCAAACCGATCCAATGAGACATATTCAGAGTATGATATGTCCAATGAACGAACATTTATAAAGTCGGCGAGAAGCTGCGAGACTATGTTTGGATCACAACCGCCAACTTTCACCGCTGTCACCGCTGATTTATCGCTGGTGTTAATCCAATTCAGAAAAGACGTCGTACAATTCCCAGGGAATATTCCTGCAAAGTTGTCACAGTAAAACTCAATTGATTCCACTTTTTCATCAGAACGACCACACTTTAAATCGTTCGATGCACACAATTTGACGAAACACAACAAGAAAATGAAGAAGTATTGCATTTTGAACAACATAAGATGCGATGAAAGAGAAAATGTGGGCACGACTGATTGTGATGACTTTAACTCATTGCTTCAGACTGATGAACAGATATGACCAGCGATTTGATAAGCATTCGGACGTGCCCATTCCATGTCCATCCACTTGAAGTTCACGAACATTGATTAATCGCAAAAACTATTCGTATGTTATCAAATTTTGTCCAAATTGATTGATGGAGACACTATCAAAATGTAGTCCCATTGAGATTATGCGCAATTTTCAAGTGCCAATTATTATTGAGTTCCATTGATGTTGATTGACGATTGATGTGCTTCAAAGTGATCGGTGATAGTTTTTCGGTGATTTTTGACACTATCTTTCTTATGATAATGATTCACCTTTCGCGAATAACCTCGTAATTGATTCAAACTTGGATCAAATGAATAGGTGCGATAGAATCGTATTTTGTGGGAACACTGTCATCAATGCCAAATTCATTCTTGACGACAGAGGTCAAAACAAACAATGCCACCACAACACCTAGCTTAGCTTGGCGATTCTATACGATTCACTGTGTATCAAGTATTCTCTACAAAAAAATACAAACATATCGCCAAATATCATATCATTTTTTACATACAAAAAAAATATTTGAAGCGAAAATGACCATTCTAAATGGAAAATATTTCGAATGTGAATAAATACAATTTCCAAATGGGAATTCAAAGTGGAAATACCGATGAAACATTCAACACATTGGTTGACATTCAAAAGTGGCGCGTGAATGTATTCAAGCGTACTCAAGTCGGTCGTACTCTCCACATCGCCGGGACATTTAATGTAGAATGCTGTCAAGTTCAGCGTTTGACGTTTGCTCGTCAAAGCGGTGTTTCTATGTGCTGGTGTGTATCGACAACAACCAATTGTGTACGCTCTGTTAATGTTTTCATATTTTTTTTGTGTTATTTGCCTGAAAAATCCATCACATTTCCATTTAAATCGAAGAGGATAGTTTATGTTACATCGAATCGAAATAAATATCAACGAGACGACCGATTTGTGTATTTAGGTAAGCAATTATAGGTTTGCAATATTTCACCACAAAAACAAGTCAAATTCATCGAATGCAACGATATAATGTTGGTGTTTTGTGTGAATTTCTGACCAAATATATCATTTCGTGTAAAGAATTTGTTTATTGGTCCCAAGACAGTGTATGTGTGTAGTGACCGTCGATTTTTTTACCCATTCGGATGCTCCTGTGTTTTTGTGTCGGTTCGGTGTAGTTTTTTGATTAAGTGCAAACAGCATAATCTGTTTAACACACACGCATACAAATGGCGCTCTGACATCGTGCGAGCTATGAAGAATCGAAAAAAGTCAGTGGCGGTGAAATATACATGCATAACGTAAGCGCAATTGGCATACACAATACACATTCTCGGAATGGCATTTCATGTACAGCGAAAAACAGGCATTTCACATTCACACATATGTATTGTACAGTTTGTCTGGGTCAATGGACTTTTATTTTGGTGCAAACTGTGTGTTTTTATTAGACAAAAAATAAACTTTTAATGTTTGACACAAGTACGAAAAAACAGAAAAAAGTCAAAAGATAATTTTGTAAATTCGATCGGCTTTTGTGATTTGTGTACAAATTTAATCGTTTCATTCGGTGCTTCTTTCGATTCTGGTAAAACGGACAATTTACACTGATTGATTTGTTTGTTCAAATGTGTTTTGTGAGAGTTTATTTCATTGCATTGTTGGAGCGTGTTGTATTGGGATATTTATCAAGAATTTCGTCGTGTTTGTGCATACAATTGCAATATGCGCCGATAATAAGGCCAAACATAGATACTCTACAGCGAATTAATCTCTTCCAATTCCCAATGTCACATAAATGATTTCGTTTGCATTCGATTGGATGCTTTGGCAATTTCATTTCAAAAGTGAAACAGACAATTTTTCTCGCCACCAAAATGACTCTATCTGGTTTCATAATATGAGTATGAAATTCATATACACGTTGTGAAGATGCTAAACTGTGTTGATGGCACTAAAAACGTAGAAATATCATCCACGATTGAATTTAAATCGGCAAAGATTTTTCGGGGTCAATAGACCCATTCAAAATGTCAATCGACATCAAAGATATGACATTTTTGCAGCGAAATTTAATCGAATGTCGTCAATGTTTGTGTATTTTCAGAAGCGATGAGTGGAAACTGGGAACAAGTTCTAGACAATTTTTGGATTAATACCCAATTAGCAACGGAGAAATCGCTACGATTGGTGGAAAATGCATTCAAATGCAGCGCAATGTCGATTGACGACAATTTCAAGGAATACTTTTTGCGAGCAACGAATGATCGGTGAGGAAACTTTATTCTCAGCTTTATATTGTTTCGATTGTGTTTTCCAACGCTAAAGTTTGACCATTTGAATAAAACAATTGTGTTTGTGCTCTTCTTTTTACAGGGTCGCCACAGCGTTCGAACTATATCTTACTAAAACCAAATTGAAGGAGCAATTCATTGGGGTTCGCGGCCAAAATGTCACATCAAATCACAATTTGGACACCAACAAGACGAGCACCGATGCAAGCGGTGAGACTGTGATTAACGGATTGTGTAGCTGTCATCGACCAGAGCTTAGCACGGCTTATTCAACGTACAAAATAACACACAGCAATGGAGGAGGAGATGGAAGCGCTATTTGTGTGACAATCATCATATCGAATCAGCCAGCGAACGATCCGAAGACAAGCCAAGAGGTCAATGTACTCGTCAGTCGCACAGAATCGGATTTAGCCATGGATGAAACAGAATCAATGCCAACCACAACCAATGAAATTGACATGAGCGAAGACAATACTGGAAATGACGCATCGAACAAAGGAACAACGAACGAATCAATGACGACAGACGAAGCTAGTTCAGCCACCGGTGAATTGAACGAAATCAAAGCAGTGGATGCCCAAGAAGACGAACCGATTCACATCGATCTACCGAACGATACGACCGGTGACGAATGCATTGATTTGATTCCTGAAAATATCGTGGAACCGTCAGACAATATTGACAATCAGATCAATGGAAAAGAAGCTCAGGAAGTGACTATGAATCAAGCAGTGACTGAGCCGATTGAAGAAGTGAAGAACCAAGAGATAAATGAAGTCACCGATCATCCAGATGTGAATAATGCCATGGATGAGCAACAGTTATTGCCAAGCATTACGACAGAAAGTGACCTGAGCGAAGAGAACTTTGGAAATGGCACAATCAGCGATGGAATAACGAATGGAATGATCGAAAAAAATGAAGCAGGTCGAGCGACGAGTGAATTTGATAAAATCAAAGAAATTGATGGTCCAGAAGTCGAAGCAATTCATATTAATATAGAGAACGATTCGATTGTTGCCGATTTGATTCATGAAACTGCCGCAGCATCTCTGGAAAACATTGGCAATCAAATCAACCAAAATAACACACAGAAAAAGACAACGA